CTTGGGTTTTTTGGGGGGGGGGGGGGATTTCCCTTCACTTAGTGTCCTGTAACCACAACAGGAAGGGAGAGAAAAATGTTTCAAATTGAGGGAAATCCATTCTCAGTGGCCAATGCAGTGTCCCTATTGAATGATTTCCCCTTTATCCCTGTTCTAGTGGCACCTCAAACTTTTGGATCACTTTCTTTTCAAGTGATATTGGTCACTAGGGCACCTAGAGTGGTGATTCTCACTAGCATAGACACAGACAGTAATAAGAACCTGATAAGAGTTATAATCCTCACCTACTCTACCCTTGCCTACTTTATATGTTTAGGGTTTATACATACAGTACTTTAGGATGACTGTTTTAAATTATGATGACAGTCATGAATTGCACAGGCGTATAACACCTTATCGACCACGTCATACATACATACATACATAAATACATGTGGGCCTTCTTCCATAGCACTGCACACATGTGCAGTGTGTTTGTGCTGGAACCACTCTCCATAGCGTGCCCCCAGCACTGAGCCCATGCTGTCACCGACAGCTCCTGGTCTCAAACTAACGTTCGGAAGCTGGGAGGGCTTGCTCCTAATCAAGGGATCACTGATAGCCAATCACAGTAATCACTGTGAATGGAAACCTCTCCTGTATTGTTTCTCCTCTGAGGAGCAAAATATACATTTTACATTTTCACTTTGTTAGAGGAGAAGTCTGAAGTAGAAAAAGAGAGTATAAAATAAATAAGATAAAATAGTTTTATCCGGGCTTGATCTAGTGTTAGTGTTAGGGTCAGTGTGTTTTAGGTAGGACATTTTATTTTTATATTTAGTGTCAGTTTTAGTGTCCGTGTGTTTAGCTAGTAATAAAGAAAAAAGGAAATGAAGGCTATTGTTTTTTGGCCCTACTACAAGTACAAACAACAATTACTTTACAGATACCGTATGTTGTATAACAATGAACGTCAAGAGTAAGAGAATTTATTTTGGGTTATTTTTTGGTGGTGGTCATGGTAAAATCAAGAAATATACAGCTAAAAAATTATATTTTTGACTATTTTGGGACAGATTTCCTTTATTGATAAAACGAAAAACAGGAGCTATCTATTTACCAACAAATAAAGGTCCAATTTGTCCTGAAAAAAACATATAATTTACCTGTCTACACTAAGCAGTTGTAGAGATACTGTATGTACAGTTTTACTAACACTGATCAAAGCTGCAAAACTAGGTTTAGGGGCTCAGGTTTGTTTGAACTTCTGTTATTAAGGGGTTAAGCAAACACTGTAACTGTCATAATGTTGATTAGATTTACCTTAAAGCTCAACTTTGAATTCTATAAAGTAATAAAAGATTAGAACCTCTATCAGGTTTTTTTTTTGCTGCTTGTGTCCATATTGAACAGATTTCCCTTTATTTTCCCTTTATTCGTCCGTTACTCGGACGAATTTTCATTATGCCAGAAATGACGAATGAAAACGAATCCGAATTTCCAAAAACTAAAATGTCGGACGAAATTTGTTAGAGGTAGTCTGTTTGAATTTTCGTTTGTGAACATATATTCGTTGAAGCAAAGTGACATTAGACAAGGTCTACAGAGAAAAAAAAGCATGAGGTTCTCCACCAATTGGTACAAGACCCTTTAGGTCTGGTAGGAATGTTAGGAGGGACCCCCAAAGTAAAAAAAGTGCGTGGGGAGGAATTTTAAGGGGGAACCCCGCCCCCCAAAAATGGGGGAAAACACGTGGGCCCCCCTAAAATTCCTACCAGACCCTTGATCCGAGCACAAGCCCAGCAGGGCAGTAAAGGTGGGGGATGATCGAGCACCCCCCCCTTCCTGCGCCTTGCCAGGCCTTGTGCCCTCAGCAATGGATGGGTGTCCCTATGCCGTTGGGGACAAGGGCCTCTTCCCCACAACCCTGACCCGGTGGTTGTGGGGGTCTGCGGGCAAGGGGGCTTATTTGCATCGATGTAATCCAGGGTCAATCATGATCCATGATGCCTGCCAAACCCGCCGAAATAAAAAAAATTCCAACCCATTACGACCCGTCCGAACCCGACGAAGACTAGCCTCAAAATGTCATCTCCTGCCTGATTGTAAACGGGGTGAGCCATGACGTCATGGGGCTCTCTCTGCCCATTTGACATTCTCAGCTATCAATTACCACATAGCATTTGGGGGCTTCCAAATGTTATTCCTGAGCTCCCGAATGCCATTCGGGTCTGTGAGCCGTGGGGGTTGATTTACTAACCTTATAAACACGCCACGAACAAGTATACACCTCTGTAGTGTGTTCCCTCCCAGCATGATCTATTGGTGGAATCTAGACACCTTTGTAGTGTGTACACACCCAGCAGGTGTGTTGTGCAAAGCCCTGCATGAATTGCAAGATGATGTTGTGTAAATTAGCTCTACATTGTGTTGCTTGCGTTGATAAATGCCTGAGCTAACCATTTTTGTCTAAACTGTGAAGCAGCATTATATATGCATCATGTGCATGATTTTTCCATATATGGCATTAGTGGAAATATGCTTTTAGAGACTTTTTGGTTGATAACTACGTTTTGCTGTGTAAAAATCACACGCACCTAGTGCGTGCGTGTGTTTAGGTTATTAAATCACCCCCGTGGTGTCATATGAACATTATTATGAGACCTCGGCTCGCCCCGCCCGTCTGTTTATATTCGGGCAGGAGATTATATTTTGCGGCGTGTATTCGTTAGGTTCGGACGGGTCTTCGTGCGGTGGGACTTTTTTTAATTTTGGCGGGCGTTGTGCATCGTGATTGATGCTGGATTACATCGATGGAGCCATTTAAAAAAAAAAATTATGGATTTTTTCTAAAAGTGTGTTTTCTTTATTTACATTTTAATTTTAACCCTTTAGTGAATGAGTAGGGGTACAAGTACCGCATACTCATTCACAAGGGGGTGGCGGCATCTGGGTGCCCCCTTAATTAAAGGGTTACCCCGATGCATATGAGTCTCCCTGTCCTCAGACCCCACAACCACCGGTTCAGAGTTGTGGGGAAGAGGCCCTTGTCTCCGTTGGCATGGGGTCACCCTCCCAATGCCGAGGGCACATGGCCTGGTAAGGCATAGAGAGGGGGTGCTCAATCGTACCCCCCTTTCCTGCCCTGCCAAGCCTGTGCTCGGATCAAGGGTCTGGTAGGAATTTTAAAGGCGACCCCACGTTTTTCCAATTTTTTGGGGGGTGGGGTTCCCTCTTAAAATTCCTACTAGACCTATAGGGCCTGGTAGGGATTTTGGGGGGAACCCCACACACTTTTTTAACTTGGGGGGCTCCCTCCTAACATTCCTACCAGACCTAAAGGGTCTGGTATCAATTGGGGAGGACCATACACTTTTGTTTCTCTTCTGCAGACTAAAAAAAAAACAAAACATTTTTTTTTGTTTAATGTCACTTTGCTGGAACGAATATTCATCCACAAACAAAAATTTGTACAGACTACCGCTAACGAGTGATGTCCGAATCCCAAAACGAATTGACTTGCGGACCCGAATCCCAAAATACGAAATAACGGAAAACCTGAATGAAAACGTAACGAAGCAAAACAAATTATTTTGCCGATACACATGTCTACTGTCCAATAGGTATAAAACCAGTAAAATTTTTTTATAAAAAAGCAAAATATATAACTTCTGGCATTTGCCCCCCTCCCAATTAAGGAGCCTACAATGGCAAGATTACTGGAGTACTGACAATATGTTGTGTGGTGAACTGGTGCACTACAGCTCTGCCTGCCTGAGATACAGTGCTCCCAGTATGCTAGTTTTTAATGGACTGTAACTGTAAACAAGTGTATTGAACTTGTAGATCTTGTAGAACTTGTAGATGTAAATTCAAATGTTAATTTGTTTTTTCTTCCTGTCGGTTTGTACCAGGAGGATATATATTAATGGGGACTTGTCCTTCTTATGCTTTGATCACTGGAAGTGCATATACCTTCTAATACTTAACAGTTAACCAAATGAAAATCAAAACAATCAACTTTCAAACTATCCTTTTGAACTAACAAAATATAAAGACAGTTTATTTACTGCATAACTTTCTCTATATGCTACCACTCTATCGAATTTTCAAAACCAGGGGGCCAGAGAAGGTGAATATGACTTTGCATCTATCTTTTTTTAACTCTCTTGAATATAAGTTACATCTTGGGCACTTCTGGTTTTAAAACAAATACAAATGTACATTTCATTGATCAGTAAAAGACAACAATAAAATAGCTTTTACCTTGCTGGACAAAGGATCCATACACAAACCACATAGAGTTGTAAAGTGTTGTAGAAGTCATAGATCCCATCTGCAAGCGTGGAGGATTAAACCAGTTCAATAGGTAGACAAGAAGCCCCACTAACAGCACAGTGCCAGCAATGCAGGCCCACAGAGATAAGTCAAATGGTGCTAAGCAGGCAAACATGTCCACTGTTTTTTCTGCTTTTTTTAGCAGCACTCCCACTGAGTAATCCAAATAGCGGGTTGTAAAATCTACTACATTCTCTCTGTCAGGTGTGATAGTCAAGGCAGAAATACCCATGTCGGCTCTCTGTAAAAGAGAATAAAAATATAAGAGAAATTAACAGGATTCTAAAGATATTCACAATGCTTCAGTCTTCTCCAGCCATGTTATTTTACTTTTATGTATGTAACATTAATAGTATGGCAACTGCAGCAATGACAAATGCTGATAATTGTGTCACTAAGTCATTGGGGGTGATTTACTAACATAAACACACGCACGCACCAGGTGCGTGTGATTTTCACACAGCAAAACGTATTTATCAACCAAAAAGTCTCTAAAAGCATATTTCCACTAATGCCATATATGGAAAAATCATGCACATGATGCATATATAATGCTGCTTCACAGTTTAGACAAAAATGGTTAGCTCATGCATTTACATTCCTGCATTCATCAACGCAAGCAACACAACATAGAGCTAATTTACACAACATCACCTTGCAATTCATGCTTGGCTTTGCACAACACACCTGCTGGGTGTGTACACACTACAAAGGTGTTTAGATTCCACCCATAGATCATGCTGGGAGGGAACACACTACAGAGGTGTATACATGTTCGTGGTGTGTTTATAAGGTTAGTAAATCAACCCCATTATGTCATCCCTATATTAACGGATGCTACACCCGAATGTATAATTTATGTAAGCACATGTATCTAGGCTTGATGGCTACCCCAAACAAAGTAAAATTGGGCTCTATAAAACCTCCATGTCAATTTGTGTCTGTAAGCCATGTGCAATTAATTTAGTTCTAAATTGACATTCGTACAAATTTTTGTATATTCGGACATTCAAATGCATACGAATTTCTGAATGACAGAAATAATGAATCCAAACAGATTTGGATGTATATGAAATGTTTCCAGAATGTCATTCAGAATTGACAAAAGGAGCGGAGAGCTGTGTGTTATTCTGTGACAGCTGTACGCCTCTTTGTTGACATTCAGGAGCATCCCAAATGTCAATAAGGTAGCAGAGAGCTGTTCCAGAATACAGAAAAGTTTTTAACTTGACAGTCCAAAGAAACAATAAAAACAGCATGCAGTTCCCCAATTCATATCAGACCCTTTAGGTCGGGTAGGAATTTTAGGTGGGTCCCCAACTCCAAAAAAAACAAAAAAGGTGGGGTCCTCTTTAAAATCCCTTACCAGGCCCTTGAGCCAAGCAGCAGCTGGACAGAGCAGAAAAGGAGGGGGGCGAGCGTGTGCCCCCCTCCTTTACCATACCAGGCCACATGCCCTCGACATGGGAAGGGTGCTTTGCTGGGGGGGGGGGGACCCTGGCAAAGCAAAGAAAACATCTGAAACAGCATAAATTAACCAAAACAATTTTTTTTGCCAGTGCACAAGTCTAGTCTCTGTTGCTAATGTCAAGGTTCCCATACAAAGATGTCCATGCAAAAAACATACAGGGTTATTCACTAAAGAGTGAAGAGTTTGGGGAAGGCAGGAGAAGTGAAAAATCTAGGCCAAAATAACTGATCTAGAAAGTGAGCTGAATTGGAGAACGTTTCCAAAATCAGCTATGTTGTCCTAGATTGTTCACTTCTCCTGCCTTGTCCAAACTCTTCATCCTTTAGTGAATAACCCTGATAGTAACAGCAAGCTGGCTCGGAGAATCGGGTGAGTATAACTTTGTTATTTTTGAATCTAGACAAAAACGAGCACTTAGCCCTTGCAGTGCACTGCAAGGGTTAAGAAAAATTTTCACCAGAGTTCTGCTTTACAAAATTTTCACTTGCAAATATAAGGAATTAAATCTTAACATCAGACTGTTCTGTCTGGTAGGGGTATTTAGATCACAAAAACAGCTGCTAAGAATTGCAAATGCTTGGCAAGTAAAACAGTTCAACTATACTGTATACGGTTCAAATATGTATTTAGCTTCTTGCCTAGAGTTGACCTCTACAGTGTATGCAAAGCTAAAAAATTTAAAGTTTTAGATAGTGTAGATTTATGATCTCTGTCATTTTTTGTAGCCTGTGTCCAGCAAGGGAGATTGCATTTCCTGTTCCAGAGACACAACAAGTAAGAGAAGATTTCTTTAAAGTGAGGTGACCTCCCCTCTAAGACAGTTGTCACCAGAACAGGTTTCCCTATTGGAAGACTTCCCAATGTCTACTCCAGTGGCAACTCAATAGTTTTGTATTTTCCATAATTTTGTATACTGAAAAAAATATTCTCCAGGACAAATAGGGGGTTACCCTCTCCAGTGGGGACAGAGAGATCAATTAAACCCTTCCACATGGTATCTAATTCTAAAAAAAACAACATTTTTGGCTTTACATCCACTTTAAATCGATTAAAACGTAGTATGTTTTTACTCAGTAATTCATTGTTTTGCTAACTCACTGTACTCCTGCCTTATGTTGATAATTTTTTGAATAATTTCCAAATCAGTGAATGCCATTGTATTTGTATGGGTGCTTTATATCTAGATATTCAGGGATAAGCGTTAGGTTTCTGTGTTTTCTTCCATTGTTCCATTGCAGTCGGGACAATCAACGTAATACTTATGCTTGACCACCATGGCATAAATAATTTTCAACTTGTTGCTATGCTAAAACCTTCATGGCTGGCTAGGCAGCGGTAATCATCTTTTTAATTTTCTGAGCATTTTCTGTCTAAAAAATAATCTGGATGACACATGGAAGAAGAAAATGTAAAGCTGGAATAAAAGACTCTTGGTTTCTAAGAGACTTACACATAATCAAAATTATGTCAGTAGAAACCATTGAATGTGCAAGCAAATATTTGTCATGAAAATATCAAGAAATAAGGATCAAATTATACTGACTTCTTGCTAATGGCCATTGCAATTTAAGTATGAAACAAGCTACTACTGGCAATTAAATAACTGCTTAAAATGCTACTGCCAGATACTGAAATTACCTGGATAACAGCATGTACTTGTCTAGGAATTGCATAAAAATGAAACATCGCAGTTTTCCTTATGTAAGCCTAGAATCTAGTTAGAAATATTAGCACACCTTTAGTCAACTCCGCAAAGGTAGGAACTTTTGTGATGATAATGCACATTTTATGAAAATCACCTACAGTATATTCACACGGTGCTTCAGCTTGATCAAAGCATTAAACCATATATGTTATATGTCATGCATATATATATATATATATATATGTACACATAAAAACACCATTCAAATGCATATTCCTTTTTTTGGTGCTTGCAGTTACAGAGTACCAAATACACATATCTACTGCAAGATAACTTATTATCTTCCTAACAGAATTTAGTTCATTTGTGCCTATATTTGAAGTATATCTGAAGTCATTGATTTCTTTTTTACATTTTAGAGTGAGAAGTATTTGGTTAAAACCACTGCCAGTTTTTCTTTTTGTCTCCCATTGGTGGAATTCTTTTTTTTACTTCCTGTCATGGAGACATAACAGAAAGTGAGAAGGAATCTCTCCAAAGTGAGGGAAAATTCCCTCTTGAACAGTGGACACTGGAAATGGTGTCCCCATTGGAGCCATGTTCCAGTATCAACTGTAAAAAAATCATTCACACATTTAGTGGACGAATCTCCCCAGCAGTATCACAAAAATAAAAACCTGACAGAGGTTCTAAGACTTTCCACACTAATTTGTTTGGGTTTAGATACACTTTAATATTATAGTGTAGTATGGTCCTACAACATCCAGAAAAAATAAGTCCAATGGAGCAGTAGACGCCCCCCTTCCCAGGAAGGGATTCTCTCAATGTACATGCTGTAGTACAGGAAGGGGGGGCACACACTTGCTGCATTCTCTTTTATGCTCACCTAGGCTGTATGTCTACACAAAAGGTCTAGTTGAAATAATTGGGGGTCCCTAAACCATTGTTTTCTCTACATAATGGCACAGGACTTCAACCAGACTCGTATTCAAGCATGCAGCCTGAGTGGCCAGATAATAGAGTGCAGAAAGTGTGAGCCCCTCCCCCTTCCAGCACCATACCAAATCACATGCCTTTCAACATGGGAAGGGTGGTCAAAGCCTTCCCCCTTGCCAGCCATCTTGCTCCACCCTATATGGTATAAGCCTAGGGCCATAAGAGTGAGTTAGTCATTGTCTAAATAAACATGCTGAAAGAAAATGCATTTGCTGGTACACATGACAGCTATGAATCAAAAGACCTGCACTCTGCAATTTTAACATTAGCTGACTATGGATAATATAAACACAAACATATGGTAAACAATATCTCTGCTAACCTTTTTTTGGGTGTTTTGTAGCATGTCAAAAATATTCAGCTCAGCCTGTGTCCTTCTAAAATGTTTCTTGTGTTAGTGTTTTATTCCATGTTTCTGAAGGTAGCCAAGTGGTCTTTTTTTTTAAAACAATATGCAAAGCAGACTAGTGTCCACTAGCCCATGACAATTAAGCAGAAACTTGCTCCAATCTGTCTGTTCTTTGAGCGGTCGCTGCACAACATTGTGCTTTGTTCTGTGTTATCAAGAAGGCAACTAAACTGCACAGCAATATAATCTGCGTTGAATATATAAATCATATCGTACAATCTGTTTCTTTTTGTATGCAAAAACAACAAAAAAGGGGTTGGATTCTGTAGTAACACTGCTGAAGTCTGGAACTTTGCCAGGATAGTTTAGCATTTGATCATAACAAATTGTCTATATTCTTAATTAGAATTGAGTTTTTAGGATACATTTTTAAACTCACTTTTCTCTGCAGTGTGTGCATTTTCCATAAGAATTTTACCACCCTCCATCCAACTACTCATTTTTACAGACTTGAAGATTTATCATCTTGACAAAAGTGCCAGCACAGCAACTCTTAAGTACGTGCAATGAGTCTGTCTAAATGCACTTTAGACATTTTAAAGATTGTGGTATTGTTCAGGGTCTAAGGTTCAAAATTTTAACATTCACTTATTCACTCTTTCCACCTGAACTAATCATTATTACATAATTCTATTAAACCAAATACCAGAGAGCAACACATTAGAATGCATGGGTTGCCTCAATATTGTGTGGTTTTCGGGAATGCCACCTACTTATCTC